TCCTCCAGGATGGCGCATCAATACATGCCATTGCCAGAAGGTTTGTTGTGTCTCCCAGCACAGTTTCACGAGTATGGAGGAGATTCCAAGAGACAGGCAGTTACTCTAGGAGTGCTGGACAGGGCCATAGAAGGTCCTTAACCCATCAGCAAGATCAGTATCTGCTCCTTTGTGCAAGGAGGAAAAGGATGAGCACTGCCAGAGCCCTACAAAATGACCTCCAGCAGGCCACTGGTGTGAGTCTCTGGCCATCCAATCAGAAACAGACTTCATGAGGGTGGCCTGACGTCCTCTAGTGGGCCTGTGCACCATAGAGCTCGATTGGCATTTGCCATTGAACACCAGAATTGGCAAGTCCACCACTGGCACCCTGCACTCACAGATGAGAGCAGATTCACCCTGTGCACGTGACAGATGTGAAAGGGTCTGGAGACGCAGTGGAGAACATTATGCTGCCTGTACCATCGTTCAGCATGACTGTTTTGGTGGTGGATCAGTGATGGTCTGGGGAGGCATATCCATGGAGGGACACAAATCTCTACAGGCTAGACAATGGCACCCTGACTGACATTTAGGTATCGGGATGATATCCTTGGACCCATTGTCAGACCTTACACTGGTGCAGTGGGTCCTGGCTTCCTCCTGGAGCACGACAATGCCTGGCCTCATGGCAAGAGTACGCAGGCAGTTCCTGGAGGATGAAGGAATTGATACCATTGAATGGCCCCCAACACTCGCCTGACCTAAATCCAATAGAACACCTCTGGGATATCAGGTTTCGGTCCATCCACCGCCAGGTTGCATCTTAGGCTGTCCAAGAACTCAGTGATGCCCTGGTCCAGATCTGGGAGGAAATACCCCAGGACACCATCTGTCGTCTCATTAGGAGCATGTCCCAATATTGTCAGGCACGCATACAAGCATGTGGGGGGGGGGGGGGGGCATACTAACTACTGAGGACCATTCTGAGTTGCTGCAATGAAATTTCAGCAAAATGGACTAACCTGCTGCATCATTTTTTTTCACTTTGATTTTCAGAGCGTCTTTGAATTCAGTCCTCTGTAGGTTGATCATTTTCATTCCTATCAAACGATGGGCATCCCTACATTCCTAACACATTACCCAGTCCATGTCAGTATAGAAAGCCAGCAGGAGATTTGTCCCCAATGAGATCCGATGGGTTTTCAAAGTGTTCCTTTCACTTTTTCGAGCAGTGTATATCCCAGAGTTTGTAGACTCTATAGCTTTTACACAGACTATGTAATATACACGGTTTTGAGTTATTTTTACCCCAAAAATGTAGAATACATTTTGGACTAAATGTATGAAGAAAAATTTTATAACAAAAATAAAAGTAAAAAATTATTTTTTTGGTTCAAAATTTTCAGACTTTCATTTATATATTAAAAAAAAAAAAAAAAAAGTGGTGATCTAATACCACCACAAAACAAAGGTCTGTCTCCAAAAAAAAAAAAAAAAGTTGATTTCTTATGGGTAAAGTGTTGCATTGGCCTGGACTGGAAGGAGATGAACATGTCTGGACATGAAGTGAATTAAAGAAGCACAGTGCTGAATAGTAAAAAAAATGGCTTGGTCATGGGGGGGGGGGGGGGGGGGGGGGGGGGGGGGGGGGGTGGAGGGGGGGGGGGGGGGGTAAAACCTCCCAGAGATCAAGTGGTTAAATGATCAGGTTGCCTTAACATGATGTATGCTAACAGTGCTACAAGCATTAATTCACCACACGGGTGGTGATCCTGGCCTATTCATGCTTCTCAGTTCTCCTGCAATAAAGTGGACATGAGATAGAATTCCATTTTTTATGTGGCTGATACACATCTTTAGACTGCAGTTCTGTGTGTTTTTAAAAACCTAAAAAGGATACATAGGTGTGAAGGGGCCCTAACACTAAACTGAAAAGATTGGTAATGGTTGAACCTACTTTAGGGGGTACAATGTAAACACAAGCTTATAAAAGATACTTCAGCAGGCCATACATGGAGTGAATTTCTTTCCTGCAAGCACTATTCCCCCATTGATACAGACAGTGTTGACAGGGAATCCCTCCCACCCAGACAATGATTACTGCTAGCGGCTATACTAGCTCGATCGATCAACTCCGGTACATTTGTCCTGCCCATACATGGTTTGAATCTTAGCCAGGTCCTGCTGAACCGGACGAGATTCAAACCATCTGTGGCAGGCTTTATTCTGGTTTGGCTGGACTTTATATTATTTCTACATATACTGACAATATCTTGCTTTTATTTTACCAATCACCTGCTTAAGATTAAATCCATGTTTGATAAACATGTTAAAGATTAAGGGCTTATGCACATGACTGGAAAAATGCAGCATACATTTGAAGATCTAGTAAACTTATGCTGCATTCAGATCTGGGGAACTAGAAAAATCTGTATATCACCCGTATGTTACTTATGTACATGTGTTTGCCTATGTTTACATGCATATAGCGCAATAGTTCTCGACCGGAGTAAAAGAGTCACCTGCTTGCAATGAAGGACGCTAGGCCGCAGAAGCAGCTAGTAGAGGTAATTTATGCTGCAACGCTGCACATATGTAAACGTTGATCAAATGTTACATGGGGCAGAGCACTTTTTACACAGATTTTTTTTTTTTTCTGTCAGCTAAATCCTTTGAAATTAGGCTTCACACAGCCTTGTGAAAATACAGCAACTAGTATAAACAAGGTTGATGAGATGAATACATTTGGGTCACCTGTTGTCAAGTTACACTCCATGCCAATTTTGGCCCTATGGGTTTGCAGTTCTGTGTCGGGCATTTCCAATTTATTTCTATGGTTTCCCGCTTTGCATTGGCACAAAGCATCACAGCTTGCCATAATCCAGATGTGTAAAACTTAGGACAGAGAACAAACATCAGTTGAAGAGGTGCATTATAACTGTCATTTACCTTTTCAAACCCAACATCAACCTTACAGGTGTTGAAAATTGGAATCATAACATTATGGCCTTGACAAAACTTGAAATGTGCAAAATGATTTTCACCACAAAACTTCAATGATTGGGTTCATGCACTCTGAAAAGTCTTACATTCTTTTATGCACAAAATGGAAGAAACAAGGGTTTCTATTTGGGTACATACTGTATTATCAAGATATACTGATTAAGTACATATTGCAGAGAACATACAATACAAAATACAGAATATGAAGAAAAAAAAAAAAATAGAGGTTCCCTTCCCCTTAATACTCACAATTGATATTTGGTCATGTGACTGGGTATAGAGACAGAAAGACACCTTAGATAGCCAAAATTACAAAAATCAGCTTCACAGCTCCCAAATAATGAAGTTACATAATTGTTGAAGATGGAATCTATACTGGCCCTAATTCACAGTTACCGGGGTAACTTTATGGTGGAGATCAGAGTCTACTCCTAAATATTGACAACAGTTAAACAACATCCAAACTGACTGCTATATTCCAAAAGAAATCTCTCATCTGCTTTCACATAATTATAGCGTGGTGAGTGTAGCCAGCTAATCATCCACAAACCACAATTTTTCTTCTGGCTTCATATAAGCAATAGAATATGGTTGCAGAAATGACCCTATTTGGCTAGCTGCAGGAAATACAAAAAAATGGCTTATTAGGTGGCTGTCAAGTAAAATTCTGTCATATCTTGATAAGATAACATGATGGCAAAACATTGACAGTTTGATCCAGCAGATTAAGTTCCGGAAAATGCCTGTGCACGGATCATTAAAACCATTTTGTTTTAACCCACCACTTAAGTACGTTATGGCCCTGACAGCCTTTACATGGTTCTCATGATTGAAGAGACTTATGAAGAATATAAAACAACATGATTACTGCTGAAGAAAGGCAAAAAGGAAAGTCAATGAGCAAACTATTTCTTGGAAAATGACAAAACTGAGTGACTTCCTGGTAAGCCATTTCAGCTCCAAGGTGCCATTTTGATTCATCCCATTTTTTCCAGAAAGGCAATTGGATTAAAGTTTAACTTAGCAAGGCATTCTGTATTAAGGGGATTAAACGTATGAAAAAAATATATATTCATATACACTCCATACATATATGCATGTCAAATGTACACAGCTTTCTGTCCTTACAATATACTGTTTATATGAAACCTCTGAGGACATAAATATAGAAGCTGTTGCTTGCTTAGTAAAGGTGCAGGTCTGTGCTGTAATTCTGATCCTGACTTGACTACCTAGTGAGACCCTGATCTGAACCAAGTATGCAAGTTTTGCAGGACTGGACCTTAGACGACGTTCTAAACTTTGCAGGTCAGGTTCCAGGTTTCAAAGTCACAAGGTAGTGTAGACAGGACCAGGGTGAAAACCCTTGAGCCTGCACCAAAAAAAAAAAAAAAAAAAAAAACTTATCAGCAATGCCAACTTCCATGTTTCTAGCCTCACAGGTACACTTTGAGAGCGAGAGCTTGCGATGAATGGGTTCACCAAGTTCGCTCAGAAGCACTTACACTTCTGACAGTTCAACAACTGAAGCACCTCTACCCTTTTGTACCCACCACCAAAGCTATTAAAATGGAGGAGGGACAAGAGGGCAAGGAAATGGAAAGTGAATCAGATCATAGTGCATATTTATATATTTATAATACATATATTAAAAGTGACTTAAGACTTAAAAATTGAATTAGTATTTATACAAGGAAAAAAAGTGCAGGTGGAATGAGTTATCCATCAGGACGCTGATCATTTAGAAACTGGAGTTGGTGTGGTGAAGATGGTACAATACAGGTTCACAGCGTCTGTCTTAGCCCCTTCAGAGCCAGAGTTCATTCTGGTTCTGTGAGGACTAAGCATGATTAGAGTGGATTTCCAGTCTCATCTCGGATAGATTTTCTTGTTGGTTTATTTCTTGATCTGAAGCTTTTAAATGGTATTGTGTTGTAATTATGGATATTTCTGTGTTTTTACTCCTTTCTCCTCTACCAATAGGAGACAAGAGAGAAGGAGGGAACTCAGTTACTACAGCACTGGCTCCTAGCAGGAGGGTTGTTTTCCTGGAGGTCAACCCCTCTGTTCCTTCCCGGGGCTCCTTGTGCACTTTGGGGCTCATTCTTCGGCAACTTCTTAGCTAGAAAAGAAAAAAACAAAAACATAAGTGTGATATATGGTGCAGGCAATCTTATTATTTGTGTCATTTCTATGTTCAAAATTTGCTTTCTAGGTCAAAGTAGTGGCAGTTGCATGCCCGTCAAGAATTACGGGGCCCATACACTAGATGAAAAATCGATCACACATCTGTCATGTGGACCGTTTGTTTTTCGTCTAGTTAATGGGTATGAATTGAAAAGGACTTTTCACAGCAAAAAAAAAAAAAACAAAACAAAATCAAGGACCAAAGGATTAGGTTGGAAAACTTCTGCTGAACAAACAAACTGAAATGTTAATGTGTTAATCGCCCGTTAAAAATCAAACGGTTAGTAATGTGCATATGCAACAAAACAAAAACTGATTTGTTTATGTCCCTTGAACATTTATCATTTGAAATTTGGTCATTCCATGATGGCAATATCGTTTTCTCTCACGACCAAGTGTTTGTTATTCGAAAATGAGTTTGAATGATTTTTTGGACTAGTGTATGGTTAGCATATATAGACTTTTTTTTTCCCTCTTTCCTTTTTGTTAAGGTAGGGAAGGCTTGAAAATCTCCTCTCATGTTGTTTTTGCCATCTGTGTCCTGTTGGGGACAAATTTTCCTTCACTTATTGGGAGTCTTAACTGCAAGAGAAAGGAAAACTCCCCATAGTGGGGAGAATTCTCTTACACAGTGGTCACTAGAACAGGTGTCCCCATTGGAAAATTTACCCTTATTTCTTGTTCTGGTGAAGAGTAAAATTTATAGATTTTTCTATTCTGTTAACATAGGCCACAAAGACACAGGATGAATATCCCAAGTGGAGGTAGACAGTAATAAAACCTTGACAGAGGGCCAAACGTCTCCCTGCTCTAGCCAAGCGGTTGTAAAGACTTTTTGCCTTCATGCATTCCATGCATGAAGGTAAAACATCTTCTGTGTGCAGCAGCCCCCCCCCCCTCCCCTAATACTTCACAGAGTCCCATTGCAATCCAGCAATGTGCAAAAGAGCCTTGGCCTCCTCACTGGCTAAGACAGCAGTGGGTACCAATGGCAATGTCAATCACAGCCAGTGAGTCATTGAGGAGAGAGAGGGTATAGGGGCCAAGCCACAGCTCTGTGTTTGAATAGACACACAGGGCAGCGGGAGCCACCATAGCAGGCTGCTTGCTGTGGGTACACTTGGCAGAAGGGAGGGGAGGGGCCAGAAGTGCCGGCAGAGGACTCAAGAAGAGGATCTGGGCTGCTCTGTGCAAAACCACTTTACAAAGCAGGTAAGTAGGACATGTCTATTGTTAAAAAAAAAAAAAAATTATACACAACGGAGAGAAAATAAGTATTGAACAGGTCACCATTTTTGTTGGTACATACAGTGGGGCAAAAAAGTATTAAGTCAGCCACCAATTGTGCAAGTTCTTCCACTTAAAAAGATGAGAGAGGCCTGTAATTGGCATCATAGGTAGACCTCAACTATGAGAGACAAAAATAAGAAAAAAAATCCAGACAATCACATTGGCTGATTTGGAAAGAATTTATTTGCAAATTATGGTGGAAAATAAGTATTTGGTCACCTACAAACAAGTAAGATTTCTTGCAAATTTTCAGTTCAAATTAATATCAGCTGGTTCACTCTCAACTGATGGCCTATTATAAGGTGTCTTTGCCAAGGTGTCACACAAGAAACATCTCATGATGGGTAAAAGCAAAGATCTCTCTCAAGACCTTCTCAACCTTATTGTTGCAAAACATACTGATGGCATTGGTTACAGAAGGATTTCTAAACTCCTGAATGCTCCAGTGAGCACTGTTGGGGCCATAATCCAGAAGTGAAAAGAACATCATTTTGCCAAAATCAGGCCACGACCAGGTGCTCCTCAGAGGATGGAAAAGGAGTGAAAAGAATCAGAAGAGTTGGCCAAGAGCCAAGGACCACTTGTAGACAGCGTCAGAAAGACATGGAATTGCCAAGTACAACTGTTTCAAAGAAAACAATAAAGTAATGCACTCAACCTCCATGGCCCGTATGTACGCTCACCACACAACTCCATTGCTGAAGAAAAAACATGTTGAAGCTTGCTAAAAGTTTTCTGCACAACAAATAGGCAAGTCTGTGAAATACTGGGAGGCTATGGAGGTCAAATGGAACTGCACATCACCCCAAAAACACCATACCAACAGTGAAGTTTGGAGGTGGGAACATCATGGTGTGGAGATGTTTTTCAGCATATGGTACTGGCAAACTTCATGTCATTGAAGGAAGGATGAATGGAAAAATGCCATCTACCAGGATGATGAAGATGAAATGAGGGTGGACATTTCAGAAAGACAATGATCCCAAACACAAAGCCAAGGAAACTATTGGTTTCAAAGAAAGAAAATAAAAGCTGCTAGAATGGCCCAGCCAAGCTCCTGACTTGACTCCAATAGAAAATATAAGAGCTAAATGGAAAGAGCTAAAGATCAGAGTTCATAGAAGAGGCCTATGGAACCTTCAAGATTTGAAGACTGTGTGGAAGAATGGTCCACAATCACACTGGTACAATGCATGTGACTAGTTTCTCCATACAGGATGTGTTGTGAAGCTGTGATTACCAACAAATAATTTTGTACTAAGTATTAAATACATTTCAGTTAGCATGTTCAAAACTTTTCCCTGTGTCATTCCATTTTATTACACATAACTTAATTGTTTTGGTTTCTTTGTATGCATGTATTGCATGTTTTGTTAGATATGTGCTAAAATGTTTCATGTCGATAGCACCTTTGGAAATAGATTTACTGAGAAAAATGGTGACATGTTCAATACTTTTGGCAATATAGCGTGTATGTGTGTATTATTCATCTCTCTCTCTCACTCACACACAATGTCAAAAGTATTGGGCCACCTGCCTTTACACACACACATGAACTTTAATGGCATCCCAGTCTTAGTCCGTAGGGTTCAATATTGAGTTGGCCCATCCTTTGCAGCTATAACAGCTTCAACTCTTCTGGGAAGGCTATCCACAAGGTTTAGGAGTGTGTCTATGGGAAGGTTTGACCATTCTTCCAGAAGTGCATTTGTGAGGTCAGGCACTGATGTCAGAGGAGAAGGCCTGGCTCAGTCTCCGCTCTAATTCACCCCAAAGATGTTCTAACGGGTTGAGGTCAGGACTCAGCAGGCCAGTCAAGATCCTCTACCCCAAAACTTGCTCATCCATGTCTTTATGGACCTACTTTGTGCACTGATGCCCATTCATGCTGGAACAGGAAGGGGCCATCCCCAAACTGTTCCCACAAAGTTGGGAGCATGAAATTGTCCAAAATGTCTTGGTACGCTGGCACCTTAAGAGTTCCCTGCAATGGGACTAAGGGGCCAAGCCCACCCCCCTGAAAAAACAACCCCACACCATAATCCCCCCTCCACCAAACTTTACACTTAGCACAATGCAGTCAGGCAAGTACTGTTCTCCTGGCAACTGCTAAACCAAGACATGTCCATTGGATTGACAGACAAAGAAATGAGATTCATCACTCCAGAGAACATGTCTTCACTGCTCTAGAGTCCAGTGGCGGCATGCTTTACACCACTCCACCGCATCTGACGCTTTGCATTGCACTTGGTGATGGCAGGCTTGGATGCATCTGCTCAGCCATGGAAATCTATTCCATGAAGCTCTCTATGCACTGTTGTGCTAATCTGAAGGCCACATGAAGTTTGGAGGTCTTTAGCTATTGACTCTGCAGACAGTTGGCGACTTCTGCACACTGTGCGATTCAGCATGCGCCGACTCTGCTCTGTCATTTTACGTGGCCTACCACTTCATGGCTGAGTTGCTGTTGTTCCCAGTTACTTACACTTTGTTATAATACCACTAACAGTTGACCGTGGAATATTTAGTAGCAAGGAAAATTCATGGATGGACTTCTTGCACAGGTTGCAACCTATCACAGTACCACAAATTACTCGTGCAGCGCAACTAAAATTAATAATTGTTAGAAAACAAATACTCCTGTGAAAAACATACCAGTATTAAACTAAAGAGTCCATAAACCATCCCCTCAGTGATATATATCACTTTAGTGAAGTGTATCTTCTTCTTTAGTAACATTCAGTGATCCTCTACCACACCAGGTGAAAAACCTGCTCACCTCAAGTAAAGAAAATATGCGCTCATCTGGGTGTACTCAACTCCTCATTCGCAGTGACATATCTTCTTATCTCCTCTCGCCTTCCACTCACTCTGACATCAGGCCAAAATTGATCTCATGCAAACAGAAAGAACGAACATAGTGCTCTCTGTATAACACTTTGTATCCTCCACTAAAATAACACCTACACATATAAAAGCATAAAATGTGTATCCACATCTAGATAGTGGCGGCGTGGTAACACAGTACCGGCTCCTCCTTCCTAGGCGCATTGCACCCCCTCTCAGGGCTTCCTCAGTAGGTGGAGAGCGGTTCTAACACAACCTTTTTATAGCCACACATTCCCCCAACTTGTGTCCAATTGGTCATGGAGACACCGTGAGTCATCATCTTTGGGCAGAAGTGCCAATACTGGTCTCTTCTCCGCCCATGGACTGCACACGCACCACTGGATGTACACCGGGAGCCGGTGAGGTTTTCTTCAGTTGAGCAGGTTTTTCACCTGGTGTGGTGGAGGATCACTGAATATTACTAAAGAAGAAGATATTCATGGAAGTGATACAAGTCACTGAGGGGATTGTTTAAGGACTCTTAAGTTTATCACAGGAGTATCTAGGTTTTCTAACAATTACTAATGTAGAAAGGTGAGCTGCACTAGAAATATGTCAATATATTGAGCTAGTGAGGTGGGATCCACGGTTTTTGTGTTGAAGCAACAAAGGTATTTAACCACTTGCCCTCCAGAGGATTGACCCACCTTCCTGACCAGGCCATTTTTTGCATTACTTTAATTGATAATTGCACGGTCATGCAACACTGCATCCAAAATGAAATTTACGTCCTTTTTTCCCACGAATAGAGCTTTC